GTTTTATCATTGTCACTTAGGAATATATTTCAAAGCTCCGCACAACCCCTAGGGGAAAATATATAATAATAGAGATAGAGTTTTATAATGTATAAAAATCTATCTCTATTTTTACCTAAAGTTTTTGATGTTAAATTTTTATACAAGCGTAAAATAGCAGTTAACACTGCTGTGTTTCGTATGGTAAGTGTAGAGAACCGGGGACCCATTTTACTGGAAAAGAGGCATTCCATCTTAGTCCTCACGGGTGATAACGCATCTGCATCTTGATTCGCAAACGACGATAGATGTAGATGTCTATGGGCCACAGCAACCACTTACCATCAGGTGGACTGTGTGCTCGTTTGTCACCCCATCATATAAATATAAAAAAAGAAGTCTTATTGTAACAGTAATATACTTACTGTTACAAATAATGTAGGAATGGCTTCTCTTAATAAAGTTGTATTTACTCTGCTTTTTCTTATATATTTCCCAATAAAATGTTTGCTACAAAATTGTAGAGTTCTTCTTAGGATTCCAAACAATTCACCCAATTAATGCCAACCGTTTTTTTTCTAACTAAAGTATCTAGAGGGAATCTGTTTGACAAACGGCAAAATACAATTTTGTTTTTAGAATGCAAATCTAGCATTTAATTTCATTCTTCTTTTTGTTGTGTATAAAAGTCTATCGATTCTTTGTACACATTGAAGATAAATATCGACATTATTTTTGATATAGTTGAGTCAATCCCTAGCGAAAATGTAAAATATTTTATTTAAAAATGAATTCACCAAAATCATACAAATTATCAACAATGTGACTTTTTTCTTTGCAAAATATCAAAATTAATAAAATAAATGGAAATATTACATATTTTAAACAGTATATAACATAAATTTTAAGCAAAAATAGACGTGTCTTATTACTGACGTCTTGCGAATTTACCTGTGAAATGTGCAACTATCAGGATTACTTCTATTGTTGATACTAAAGTCACTAACGGAACATGAAACCATTTTGGCAAACTATAAATTATACAAATTAATACTATTATAATCTAAAAACACGCAAAATATCCACAAGCTTATTTTTCGCGCCCCGACTTGCGCCGACCTGTCATTCAAAATCGGTTATATAGTCATAAGATTTGGTATCCTTTTCTATCTTGCATTTTTGCCATAAGGAATTTTCTTCTCCCTTGCACACTATGTTGGGTCTATACGTATAACCTAAGTCTTGACCATAGATAAAACACTATATACCAGAGAGACTAGACCATAGATAAATATATATGTAGCAAGCTAGACTAGACTAGCTTGCTACATATTTATTTTGTGCTACATATTTATTTATCTATGGACTTATAATTTTTTGAGCGATCAAGTAAGTGAAAAGTGAATTGATTTATTAGTGAAGTGATAACGATTACCTAAATTACACTGAAATAGTCGTGCTGCAAACTTTAATACGTTGGTCGCCATGTCGGACAATGGTGACCGCCAGTAAATGTTTCATTCAGGCCGCGTCGGACATTGGTGACCGATAGGGCACACCTTACTTTGACTTACGTTTACAGGCCGGCGGCCACTTTTTCATTAGATTTGCGCATACTAAGTGACCCGCGCGGCCCTGTAGAGTATTAAAAATAATGCGTCACCCTAATTTTTTTGAATATTTGGAATGCTAGACTAAAATAAAAATATTTACAAATAAAAACACCACTTATCTAGTCATTTGTTTATTTGAATATGAGATCAATTTTCAGTGTTTTTTTTTAAAAATGAGTATTAACTTTAGACAGAAAAATAATTATGAATCGAAAAAAGAAATAGGAACATTGAAGCAATCTAGGCACAAGTGTGACTTTCGGGGGCAAATCTGACAGAAGGTTACAAACTTTTTTTTGTTTTGTTGTGTGCTGTTTGCCTGCCAATAGTTTGTTCGTTTTTCTTGTAACATCCAAGACAATTTCTTCGTGATTGTTTGGCCTTTCCTTCTTTTATTGATAGCTGATGCCTCAGTCGCGACTGCCTTGGTGCTTAGGTCAGTTGAGACTGGTTTTAATTGTTTGAAGACATGAGATGGTCAACTAGCACTCTTCTAAACTGCATGATGGAGATGTTGTTTTTAGTTGTTTACTTGTTTAACACCAAAGCATTCACAACAACTATTGAGAAGTAATTTGAATCTTTATTTTAAATACCATTTTACTGTCTTCTTAGCGAAGTCGAGTATGCAGATATCTGGTCCGACAAATCCACTGCAGCTTTCACTTCATTATAGTCCCAGAATTGTTTTTTGTTTCTTTTTTGAACACCCCTTTTATTTACTATAGGTGTTACAGATAGTCTTACTCCCCTTAGTAAGAATAGAGTCCCTCATACAGGCATAATTGATAGAATTCACTCAAAAATTCCTATCTTACAAGCCAATTATGATAAGATTCCTAAATAATTTGTATTCGATAAAAGTATAAGATACAATTAAATGAAACCAGCCAGCCGGAAGGATAAAGCCCAAAAGAGCTTAGAGTTTTCACCGATGGTTCTAAAACAAATGAAGGTTTAGCTTCTGGAACTTTCTCTGGAGACCTCAATATCCACATATGCACACCGCTGGGTACCTATAACACAGTCTTTCAGGAATGTATGGGTATCATTCAAGTGGCCATAGCAATAGATGCTAGGAAGGTTAATGACTTCCCCATCAGAATACTGACCGACAGTAGGGCGGTACTACAAGCTCTGAGTTGCAATGTGGTGAACTCAGGACTAATTTATGAATGCCATCAACGCAACGATTAAATGAGGAATGTAAAAACAACAATGTGACTCTGCAATGGATAAAGGGACACAGTGGATCCAGAGGCAACGACGCAGGAGATGAACTGGCCAGAAGAGGATCGCCTCTGGCTACTATAGGGCCGGAACCAATCATACTAATTCCCTTTGGTAATGTTCGTTCACTGGTACATAGACACTTCACTAATCTACACGCTCAGCTTTGGAAAAATCTACTAGACTGTAGACAAGCTAGGTAGGACCTGCCTGAAATAAACAGTAGCTTAACCAAAGTTCTAATGAGACTGAACAAGCTGCAGATCAGGATAGTAACAAGTGCTATCACAGGACATGGCAACTTTAACAAGCATTTATTTACTATAGGTGCTACAGATAGTCTCCTGTGCAGGGCATGTATGGGGGAAGAAGAAACGGTGGCCCATGTGATATTGAAATGTCCGGAGGTCGCTATGTACGGGGCTAGACATCTTGGCACGCCGAGATCAATCCCCGAAGTTGCACGCAACATCAAAAGACTGTTGAGCTTCTTCAGGGAGATCTCATGGCTCGAATAAGCATATTATTCCTGCCCACACGCAAAATACGCGCATAGACGTGGAGTTGCGGAAATCAGCCCGTCGTAAACTAACTAACAAAAGTTAAAGCTTAAAATTCATGTATATTATGTATACAAATATATGTAAGTTTATGTCATATCCTTCATTTCTTTCATCAAAATCTTACATTTGGGTCTTAATCACCACTTAATGACAAGATAACACATTGAAGATGCAATTCAGCTCTTGTTAGATGTTTATCTAGGTATTAAATCATCATCATCATTACAGATCATCACATGAAATGTCTCATCTCCAGTATAATATGTAAAGACTTATTAAATTGAAATTTATGTTCTCTCCTGCATATAAATCTGACCAAATTATCAAGTGATCTTTACCATGGCAACTTGGATCTACCTCAACAAATGTTAAGTTTGCACTTGCGACTTCTGAACTTCCACGATCCACTATATCTTCAGTCCAGGTACAACAAACAGCTTTTCTTTGGATGTCCTGTCTTTAAAACAAATACCCAACTTGGGTAATAAAACCAAAGTTGTCGTAGATAGAATGCCTTGGATGTAGTTAATTTTGGCAAGGCATTGTTTGATGTAGATCAACTGTAATGTAAAGCACTTTGTCATCAGGCTTAGGTTTCGTTCAGTCGACTTGCATCGCTTCTACAGCTGCATAATAATTTGCTTTGTTCTTCATTTGAGTCCCCAGTATCGCAAGCTGCATTGGTATCATTTTTTGGGTATCTAAAAGATAAATTAAATTTTTTTACAAAGATTTTGCTATATGAAGCTTTCTTAATTTTGTATTTGTCTGTTAAATTCCCTTTTTCACACATTTCCAGATACAGCATCTTAGTTAAATTCAGTACTGGAAAATATAGCTAATGCATATTTTTATTACGAAGATAATGGGACTGTTCGGCAGGAAAGCTCAATATATGTGCTTTAACACAGTTTGCAACTTCTTGATCGATTTTGTGGTCTTGTATTGAACTTTTATTATGAGATCAATTTTTTTCTGCCTTATTTGGTACAATCCATACAATCCTAACTTGCAAACTTGTAATCACTGAAAATTTAACAAAATACTTGTACGATGCTGATTTATGGGTTTTAGCATTACAGCGTTGTCTTACGACAGGCTTACTGACATTGCTGTTAACCGATTCAGCAGATATAATTGATGGCACGCCATTATTTTTCTGTGGCGTATGACACGCGAGTCGAGTCTTTTAAAAATCATAATAAATCGCTCCAATTGAGTTCTTGAAAGATTTTACCAGAACAAAATATTCATTAGTTTGCAAGTAGTTCATGCATACAGCTTCGTTTCTGGATATTTAAAGAATTTGAAATTTTTAGGGGTTGACAAGCTTTTTTAACCTTCGGCATACAAGGTGAAAAAAAAAACCTTGCCCGTACAACGTGGGGTTAAAATAACCCTTAGTAAATATACTATGTATTAAGGGTATTATTTAAATACAACGGCTTAGATAGGGTTTTGGGCTTAATTAGTTATAAAATAATAATTAAAACGCAAAATAATGGGTCTTTTATATTAATAGGAGCTTTTAGTCTAAGCCAATATTATAAAACTAGAAATATGTAACATTATAAAAAAAATATAGAAATAAGTAAGTTTCTCTATTCTAGTGAGATCATCCGTTATCTAAATCAGTACATTTTTGGCACATCAGATTTGCGTGTTCCTTACATATTGCAACATTGCATTTGAAACAACCGTTCAACGTCTTCCTATCTTTATTTCTTGGACAAAAAGAACACCTTTGCGACTTCCTTGGTTGCTTTTGTGGCGGACCTGGAACCTCTTCATCCAAAATTTGGTGCACACGTTTTCTCGAGGAACATGAGGATTGTCTTTTCTTTTTCTTAGATGATCTTCCAGCAATAAAAATCCCAATTGCTTGATAAAGTTCCTCCTTATATTGCTTTTCTTTCTCTCAGTCTCGTTGTTGGCGAAGCGTCTATAAAAACATTTCAATTTATTAGTTAACCGATTACGAATAGCTTCTAAAAGCGAAAATTACAAGTCATAATATTCTAATAAGAAAACGCTTAGTTGAATCTTAAAGAAATGTCGAATTAATAATTTGAAAGTCTTGGGTTCGATTCCCAGGCCGGACTAGTTCGTCGTTTTTCTTAGTAATATTTTTTTAATAAAATTCATAAAGGGAATTTTTAAGATAAGTTATGTTTCCGGGTTCAGTTCCCCGGTTGAAACCACCTTTCCAATAATATTGATAATTTAAAGAAATATTAAAATAAAGTTAAAGACCAGGATTTGTTCCCCGGTCGAAATGATCACTTTGTGAATAAGTGGAATTAATGTAAAATAATTGCATAAGCATTGTCTTATATAAGCTTGATACATTTTGTACGAAAGTAAAAGGTCTATTTTCAATGTTTGGTTAATAATATATTTTCTTTGTGTTATCTGACAACATGTTAACTAATAACAACTTTGATAACTGATAAGAGATTCTTATTGGATACTACCTTGCCGACAATGGGGGTCGTATGGGAATCAGTTACTCATCTTGTGGTAATGGACCACAGAGCAATAGGCTAAAATTGCCATCTGCTTTACCGACCACAGTGCGTGGAGTAAAAGTTAGTTGTTCATCTAGTTGGATACAACAACAGTGTGCTAATCTGTAGAATTAAAATTTAAATAAATAGAAATTTAAATATTTGTAAATTTCAGCAATTTATGTAAAATTGACTTGTAAAATGTTTCAGGTTGACTGTATGAGCAAAATAGATGAATTCTGTGTTGTTTTCATGTATAAATTCCTATAGAATAGTGAAATATTGATAGTTTTGTATAAAAAGTTTAAAAGTGTTTTAAATGGTAAAATATATAGGAAAAATGTAAATTAAACTATTGTATTAGTTAAGATGGTTTGCTTCCTGAATTCAGGATGTTTCCGGCACTTTCTGTCAGCCAAAGAACCCAACGTTTTCAGGAACCCAACGTAGGCGTCTTAGGCAGGATTAAGAAGCTCTGTCCTTTTATTTGGTTCCTCACGAGCCGGATTTAAGGAAACAGGAATAATCTCTGTCTTTTTTATTTGCTCCTTCGCAGCAGGATTAGGAAGAGAACCTTTCCCTGTCCCTTTCACTCGTTGTTGAACATATGTACTATAAAAGAATTTATATTTGCATGATTCAGCAAGGAGAAAAACAGCGTAAGTGGCCAGCGTTTACTGTTGCGGGAAACATCGTATGTTCTTGAAAGCTTGTCAACTACATCAACTCCACTTTTTGTCGAGTTGTAAAACGTTATAATAGATGGTTTTCTTTGGGTCCCGCTTTCTGGATCTATTTCATCATCATGGTGCAATGAGGACATCATATGTACACACTTTCGTGGTTTAGGTATATAAGACACAATGGTTATGTCTTTTTGAAAACCAAATATCGACGATTTTTCTTCACGTCTGGCTTTGAATTGGGTAGGAAGGCACGCCTTGTTTGACCGTAGGGTACCAACAGCAGTCAATTTGTGGTTTTGAAGTAAATTTTCAGCAGTTTCGAAGCTCATAAAAAATTATCCATTGTTATATTTCTTCCAGATCCAGACACACATCTAACTAAACGGTCTACAACATCGAATGGCTTGTTACTCACTGCTTAAGGGTTACTTTCAGGCTGTTTACCACAGTAAATTTCCAGGTTCATTGTATAAAATGTTTTTGCATTCTCTAGTGCATAAATTTTTAACCCATACTTAGCTGGTTTAGAAGGAATGTATTGACGGAAAGAACATCTTCCTCTAAAGGCCACAAGTTCTTCGTCGATGGTCAAGTACTCAAACGGTGCATAGGCATCCTGACAGTTTTTGATGAAAACTTCAAATACGTCTCTTACTGGTGCCAAACGATCGATAGCAGCTCTTTCTGTACGCGTTGATGCGTCATCAAATCTCAAGTTATTTACCAAGAACGTAAATCTCTGTCTAGTCATAGTATTTCTAAATATTTCGATACCAGTGCCATCATTAGCCCATAAATCTATAATACTTTGTCTGTTAGATCTATATAAACCTGCCAGTATCAATAATCCGAAAACAGCTTTTAGCTCTTCTCTGTTCGTTTCTTTGGTTGACGGATTAGGTTCAGAGTTTTCCAATCTCAAACAAATCTTTTGGTTAGTATACTTCAAAACAATGTCAACAAGTTTTTTTTTTTTTTTTTTTTTTTATAGGATAAGGGTGACAAACGAGCACACAGTCCACCTGATGGTAAGTGGTTGCTGCGGCCCATAGACATCTACATCTATCCTCGTTTGCGAATCAAAATGCAGATGCGTTGCCACCCGTGAGGACTAAGATGGAATTTTTATAAGTGATTCCACTTGATCATCTCTTTGGCCGACATTTTTCTCTGCGAACCGTTTCTTCACGACACTCCATATTAACTCAAAAAAAAAAAACTTCTGTAAAAAATATTTCAAAGCATTCCAAGTATGTTTTTTTGTCACGAACAGTAGGTTTACACCCAGGCAAATGCGTAATTATGTTCTCAGACTTTGTTCGAACATTGGTCCGTGGTGGCGTTTTGTACCACTTGGTTTTGCCATCTTTGCCTGTATAAAATGGTAGCGTTAGAGGCGTTTCTTCTACAGGTTCAGGGTCTTCCATGTCCGTATCACTATCAGATTCATACGCCTCGCTGATGTGATCGGAATTATGGTCACTGTCGGAGGGAGTTTTCATCGTCTTCTGACACATTATCTTCAAGTAAAGCCGCCGCAATATCATCATCTTTCATCCTATTTGCCATCTTAATTAAACTCTAACTGTAACAAAACACAAACTACATAAATATAACCAAAATAAGGTTGAAAATAACAAAGAAACATAAAACTGCATACATACTTATTCAGCACCGTCCCATACAACGTGGGGTTAAAACACCGTGAGCCGCTATACGCGCGTGCACATACGAGCGCGTTCCGCGCAGCACAGATCCAAGGTCACGAGTCGACGCGGCAACTTTTAACGCCCAGCTACTAGGAATTTCAATGTTATTGCTCGATTATTACTTACAAGTGGACGTATTTGTCTGGAGCTGGGGTTAAAAATACCCCACGTTGTATGCCGAAGGTTAAATTGCGTTCTTGGAAGATTTTACCAGAACAAAATATTCCTTATTTTGCAAGTAGTTCATGCCTACAGCTTCGTTTCTGGATATTGTAAGAATTTGAAATTTTTAGGGGTTGACAACCTTTTTTTATCTTGTTCATGGTACTCTTTTTACTGTAGGAATTTTTTAAATCATGTTGTGGAAAAACACTAATACGTAACAAATAATAGCACTCATTGCCGTCGCGCACTAACTCAAGTTGTAAACAAGTTTCTGGAAAACAAGTTTCTTGTTAAAAAAATAACAATGATTGATTGATTGAACTGCTGTCTTATTACTATCATATGACCAAATGGACCTACGAAGTACCATGTGCTATTGTGATATGGTATAAGGTTTATTTTTGTTTGAAAATGTTCGAACGCGTTCATGCAAAATTTAAAAGTTCGCTAATAAATGGAGTCTTGTTCATCCGCCGCCGTACATCGCCGTCGCATCAGGTTGTTTTTTCCTTTTGAAAACACTTTTGTTTTGCTAGTCTTACTAATTAGATGTTTTTAGATCGACACTTTACTTTTACATTTGTTGAACATTAAATAATACATAACTTTGTGAATATCAATGAAACATAAACATTATTTTTTCCAATTCAAGGTTCTTGATTGTTTGATATTTACAAACGTTATTATTAGGTGAAAATTTAATTTAATAAAAACCAAGGTATTTCAGGGTGATTTAGCTGTACGTACTTATATAAATATTTTTTTTTGTATAAAACAAAAAATAGTACCAAAGGTTTGTAATCTCTGCATAAAAAAGTCACTTAGTCTCCATTTCAAGGAAAACACATCGAAAAACACGCAGTTAGCCAGTAAAAATAAGTATCTTTTCGTTTACAACCGCTGTTTGATTGGTCCTGCGCCTGATCTCTCTCCGGTCGTGTCGGTTTACCGTCCCATCGGACTTTGAGAGTAAGGGAATAGAGAGTGCACCTGTGCTTGCGCATACACTTGGGCACTATAATCCTGTCCTGCGCCGATGGCTAGTCTCCGTTGAGACCGGCCGCCGTGACCGAAATTCGGTCTGGAGGACAATTATTATAATTATATTTTTAAGTAGGTATCCTATCTTACCTACTTATTATAGACTCGTACCTATGTTAGTGTACACTATGAAATTATTCAGACGTTATTTGAAATAATCAAGAAAAATTAATTAAGCCAGGGTAATAAAGAATAAATTTATAAAATTATGATTAATAAGGTGTAAAGGAATCATATCTTCTTCAATTTTTTTTTTGCGCCCGAAGCAATTGGAAATGGGCTACCCCGGAGGGAGGCAGAAAATGCATTACGCATATCACGATGGCCGGTCCATCGTGGTTATGGGGGACTCACTACCTACAAGGGGAACCTAAGTAATACCCCCTAAAAACTGCCTTTGGGGACTGGCAACTAGCTGTTGAAAGGTTACTTGAATTATCACTGTCACTATCACTTTCGTCACTATCACTGCCAACCCACAATAAAAAGCGATCACTTCCTTCATTTATTATATTTTCTTTGACTATGTACTCATTTTCAATTTTTATAACATGTTAGCACTCTTTTTTCCAAAGCTTATTGTTTATTGAGCCAAACACTTCTTTTATAAGTGATTCCACTTGATCATCTCTTTGGCCGACATTTTTCTCTGCGAACCGTTTCTTCACGACACTCCATATTAACTCAAATTTAAATCGGCATGATATGGGGGCAGTCGCAAAACATTACGACCATGTGATTTTATTATTTCTTCAGCCTTATATATGGGCTCTGGTTTATTTATTTTTTATTAATTTATATAAAGCATTTTTTGTCAAATTAGGTGAAAACAACAGCCCCCTTGTTTCAAAGCTACTCTACCATATCTGCTTTGAGGCTCGTCATATTAGGGCTTTTATTTATTTGTACAGTATGATGTGGTGCATTGTCCATTACAATCTCACAATTAGATGGCAGGTTTGGTAAAACTTGTTTTCCCAGCCATTTTGTAAAGTTATCGCTATTCATGTCGTCATGGTAGTCGGATGATTTTGTTTGTGACTTGAATAGCAGTAACGCATTATTAATGAAGCCGTTTGTAGTTCCAGCGTGTGTAATTATCCATCGTCCACCCGTAGCAGAATCTCTGACCTATACACCTTCTTCAGACTCTGACTGGCAACATTTTTGCAGGAATAAATAAATGTTTCGTCTAGATAGACAATAGTCCGCTCCTCTTCTCGATATTTTTAGATTTCATTCAAATAATTAAATCGCCAGGCAGCTATATCTGTTTGCTCGACTAACATTTTTCGTTTGGATTCACACTTTTTATATTTATATCCGAGTCGTTTTAATATTTTCTATAGTATAGTACACTCACCTTCAAAACTTATTTCATCTCGCATTTCGATAAGTAATTTGTTTAACGTAGGAATTTCTCATCGGACAGCGTAAAATGACATAATTTTTTGTCGAATTGCGCAAGCACCGAAGTCTTGATCTTGATCTTCTTATCACGATTTGGTCGTTTTTTTCCAGGTGTTGTTCTTTTGACGGACCAGGCACACCCAAATTTGAAACTGAACGGGCCTCACTTGCCTTAAAATTCAGGTTACAGTAGATTCGGATACATCTGTTATCATTAAACAAATGCAATTTTATTTTACTAGTTTAAAAATATACATAATATACTTACTTACTTGATTACAAATATTTTAGTATCATCTAGCGACATATATAAACATATTTAAAATACGACCCACTACCATGCGGTACTGTTAAGGTTAGTCTAAATCAGGTATGGGCAACCTTTGACATGTTGAGGGCCAAACTTTAGCGAGCAAATACGTTCGCGGGCCGCGTTTAAAAGTACTTAGTGCATTTTAAAGTAGTGATAATATTTTTAGCGATAGATACAGGTTGGAGCAATGGAACGTGCATATTTAAAAAAATAGATTACAAAAGAAATACAAAAGGTACGGTTAAAATAAAACTAAGGAATTGTAAAGTAAAAACTGAAGTTTATTTTTTAAAAATAACATCATCTAAATGATGACCCTCTCTACGACGGCACTCCTCTAACCGCGAACGGAAATTATTAAAAGCTTTCTTCAGTAATGTTGATGAAATTGCTGCCATTTCACCACGGATATTCTGCTTGAGCTGATCGATGTTTCTCGGTTTATTACTGTAGACTTTGTGTTTGAGGTATCCCCATAAAAAAGTCAGGAGGCGACAAATCT